ATGCGTAATTTGTGAATTTTTTAATTTTTTTTTATTACCGTGTTTAACATCATCACACCTTTATATAGGAGACAAAAATTTCTTAAAAAAAATGAAGGAGACAAAACTTAGAGGACAAGGACTTTTATACCGCCAAGGAATAGGATGATTGCAAACCCCTACAATTGAACAGCCCAACCCCACCTTTATGGGCTTCATCCAAAAGTGCAAGTCCAGCCCATCTTTTTTATAACAATCCGAAATGTATTCCCTAAAATTTCAAGACTTTTCGACACCGGACCCCGAAACTTCCAAAATTTCTCAAAATACGTGGATATTAGACTTCAATTTTGGAATTTTTTAACCTTTTTCGCACGGAAATAAAAATTGTCGATATGTTTACCATTGTCACTAAATGCTCCGGGAGTCCAATTGGGTGGGTGAAACCATCCAATTTGCCTTTAAACGACCAATTTACCGGTTTATAACTTTCACCGATTTCATTAACTCAAGCCTACCACGAACATTTATGACAACATATAATGATCATATATTGTTCCAAATGGCATTATATGACCCCGAGATGTATTCCCTAAAATATCAAGGTTTTTCGACACCGTACCCAACCTCAAAAATTTCTCAAAAAGCGTGGAAATAAGCATTCAATTTTGGAATGTTTTGACTTTTTTTTCGTCCGGAAATAAAAATTGCCGAAATTTTTACCATGGTCCCTAATACCCCTCGGGAGTCCAATTGGGTGGGCGGAACCATCCAATTTGACTTTAAACGACCAATTTACCGGTTTACAACTTGCACCGATTTCATTAATTCAAGCCTACCACGAACATTTATGACAACATATAACGATCATAAATGGTTCCAAACGACATTATAGGACCCCGAGATGTATCCTCTAAAATTTAAAATCTTTTCGACACTGGGCCTCGAAACCTCCAAAATTTCTCAAAAAGTATGGATCTTAGCCTTTAATTTTGGAATTTTTTGACTTTTTTCGCTCGAAAATAAAAATTACCGAAATGTTTACCGTGGTCCCTAATACCCTCCGGAAGTCCAATTTGGTGGGTGCAACCATCCAATTTGCCTTTAAACGACCAATTTACCGGTTTACAACTTGCATCGATTTCATTAACTCAAGCCTACCACTAACATCTTGATAACATATAATGATCATATATGGTTCCAAACGACATTATATGACCCCCAGATGTATTCCCTAAATTCCCAAGACTTTGTGACATTAGGCCCCGAATCCTCCAAAATTTCTTAAAAAGCGTGTATTAGCCTTCAATTTTGAAATTTTTGACCTTTTTTTTGCCTAGAAATACAAATTGCCGAAAATGTTTATCGTGGTCCCTAATATCGACTGGTATTCCCATTGGGTGGGTGGAACCATCCAATTTGCCTTTAAACGACCAATTTACCGACTTATAACTTGCACCGATTTCATTAACTCAAGCCTACCACAGACATTTATGACAACAAATACTGATCATATATGGTTCCAAACAACATTATAAGACCCCGAGATGTATCCCCTAAAATTTCAAGTCTTTTTGACACCGAGTCTCGAAACCTCCAAAATTTCTCAAAAAGCGTGGATATTAGTCTCAATTTTGGATTTTTTTTTTGACTTTTTTCACCTGGAAATAAAAATTGCCGAAATGTTTTTCATGGTCCCTAATACCCTCAGGGAGTCCAATTGGGTTGGTGGAACCATCCAATTTGCCTTTAAGCAACCAATTTAATTACTGGTTTACAACTTGCACGGATTTCATTAACTCAAGCCTACTACGAACATTTATGACAACGTATAATGATCATATATGGTTCCAAATGCCATTATATGACCCCGAGATGTATCCCCTAAAATATTAATACTTTTCTACGCCGGGCCTTGAAACCTCCAAAATTTCTCAAAAAGCGTGGATATTAGCCTTTAATTTTTGAATTTTTTGATTTTTTTTTCGCGCAGAAATAAAAATTGCCGAAATGTTTACCATGGTCCCTAGTACCCTCTGAGAGTCCAATTGGGTGGGTGGAACCATCCAATTTGCCTTTAAACGACAAAATTACCGGTTTATAACTTGCACCAATTTCATTAATTCAACCTACCACGAACATTTATGACAACAAATAATGATCATATATGGTCCCAAACGAAAATATATGACCCCGAAATGTATCCTATAAAATTTCAAGACTTTTCGACACCGGACCTCGAAACCTCCAAAATTTCTCAAAAAGCGTGGATATTATTAGCCTTCAACTTTGGAATTTATTTATTTTTTTTCGCTTGGAAATAAAAATTGCCGAAATGTTTACCATGGTCCCTAATATCCTCCGGGAGTCCAATTGGGTGTGTGGAACCATTCAATTTGCTTTTAAGTTTTAACCGGCCAATTCACCGGCTTACAACTTGCGCTGATTTACCGATTTATAACGACCAATTTAATTAACTTGCACCGAACCTGACTTGAACTGAAATTCATCCAAACCCTTTTAATTCGTCAAAACCCGAATTTAATCCGACTTGTTACGAACCCGACTTGAATTCAACCCGACCCGAATTTAACCAAACCTGTAACAAACCCGCCCGAAATCAACCCGACTTGTTATTAACCTGACCCAAATTCAACCCGACTTGTTATTGACCCGACCCGAATTTTACCATACCTATTACTTACCTAACCCAAAAATTCAACCCGATTGTTACTAACCCGACTCGAAATTAACACGACTTGTTATTGACCCGACCTAAATTCAACCCAAATTGTTCCTGACCCGATTTCAAATCACCTTAAATGCTATTTAGACCACCTTATTATTATTGATCAAAGCATTTTATCTTGGGAGACCAAGTCGGTCCACGCCAGCAAAAGAAAGGAGCATCATCCTCAAATTTAAGAGTTAAATATAGTATATATTTGTTGTATGGTCAAAGGAGATAATTATCTTCCTAAATTATAGACTATAGTTCCCTAGTATATTGCCATATGTATTATAGTCAAAGGAAATAATTAGCTTGATAAAAATGATAGTAATTATCTATTTATAATTAGTTGAACCCGAATATGACGTGACTTGGAAATGACCCGACCTGATTGTAGCCTGCAAATATATGACTTGAACATAACCCGACTTGAATCCGAGAATGACCCGACTTGGAAATGACCTAACCTGATTATAACACGCAAATTATTGACTTGAACCAAACCCGAGTTGAACCCGATAATGACCCGACTTGAAAATGACCCGACCTGATTATAATCCACAAATTATTGATTTGAACCGAACCCAACTCAAACTCGAGAATGACCCGACCTGATTCTAACCCGTAAATTATTGACTTGAACCGAACCCGACTCGAACTCGAGAATTACCCTAACCCGTTTTAACCCCTGAAAACCCGAATTAAACCCGACCTATTGTTCACCCGACCCGAATGTAACCCGACCTGTTATTAACCCGACTTAAACCCGACCCAAACCCGATAAGAAGTATGACCCGACGTGACCCGACTCAAGCATGACCCAACCCAAACCCAACTCGCATAGGTTATGGAATTAATCAGAATTGTCCCGAACCGAGTTGACCCGACCCACTCTTACCCGACCCATTTACCCGAATTGACAGCTCTAATCACACCTTTATATAGGAGACAAAACTTTCTTACAAAAAAATTAAGGAGACAAAATGATAGAACAATGTATACTACAAGAGGGGGGGGGGTGAATTGTAGTGTATGTAGACTATGGTAAATTTTGCGGAATTAAATCTACTACTAAGAGAAAAGACACTGAGATAGGCAATGAATAAATTCACTATGTAAAAATGATTTACAATCACTAATACGTTGCCTAGACTCAAGTTCCGTGAGAAACTCAAGTTACCCAACTGTGATCCCTCAATCACAGTTTCTCACACTTTGTGATTCTACTCCGAATCACTTGTACAGTGTAAACAACTCTCTCAAGTCTCACACTTTACAACTCTCACAACCCAAACCCAATTACACAATGATTACAAGTATTTCCTAAAGAACTTAAGAGACTAAGGATGGAAGGAACTTCTCTTTTAAACACTTTGAAACTCTATGCTCAGAATACTTAAGATTGTTTTTCCACGCTTTCAAAACTTAACGTTGATCTGTTTTTATAAGGAGTTAAACCAAGCTTCCATCAAGTTCCCACTTCCCCCTTAATCCCACGTTCTCTTTGGCTGAGAAGTTGGGATGTAGGCAGAGGAAATTTAGGAACATGATTTCCTTAGCTTGACTCCCAAGTTCAACGTTCTCCTTAATACTAGGAGCCAGTATTTACCAAGTCAAAAAATCAGTTATTCAAAAAGATAATTATTTAATAAAAAAGATAATTATTTATTTATTAATTAAAAGATAAATAATTAATTAATTTAAAACTTATTTTTTTAAATTAATGAATTATTTATTTATTTATAAAATCTTTTTAAATCTTTTTCAAAACTGATTTTTATCACTTCCTTAAATTAAGGGATATGAAAACTGTTTTAAAACTTTCGTTTAAAACTTTATGAGTCAATCGTCAAGTTCCTTCGGGAACTACAGGTTCCTTCAGGAACTTCGAGTTTCTTCTTAATTCCTTCCAACACTTTTGTTTCTTAAGCTCGTACACTGAGTAACTAAGTATATAGAGTTATGAGGACATCTTGAAAGCTTGCATTCATCATCAAGTCTTCCAAACTCTGTTGTTCCTACTCCGGAACATGTATTTGTGTACCTGAATCTTTCTGTTCAACCAAGACTCATAAACATCATTAGTCAGAGTTTGTTTTATGTAAGTCAATCATCAAAATATTAAGGTAGTCAATTCAACACAAAACTTAGAGGACATGGACTTTTATACCGCCTAGCAATAGGATAACTGCAAACCCCTACAATTGAACAGCCCAACCCCACCTTTTTTGGCTTCATCCAAAAGTGCAAGTCCAGCCCATCTTTTTAATAACAATCAAAATCATTTATTTTTATTATATTTTGGGTGCAAATAACAATCATAAATCATCAATACATTCTTAAACAAATTCAATGTACAATGCTTTAAATCTTTAATAGTACTTCCCAACTAACGGTTTCTTCAAATTATTCATACAATAGAAATTTGAAGTAAAAAGTCAATCGTATATACGACCATTATTGTCCTTAAGTGAGCCCAACCATGCAGGCGGAACCACCCCAGTTTGTTCTTGAACTGTCTTGAATAAAGGTGGCAAAGTCCGGTAAACATTTGCAACCTCTTCCATTGCCGTGCCACCACCCGAACCCTCGCCAATATTACCTCCATTTGTCCACACACTAATCTTAGGCTGCAAGCCCTTAATACCCTCAGCATTTATTTTAGCAATGTCTTGAAACATGCTGTTGTTAATCATCATATAGTCCCTTAGTGCGACGTAATTGCCCCCAAGTGCCTCTAATAAGGTACGTACGTAAGTGCCTTGTGCTTGTGCAAGTGCAAGTATACCTTCTGCCTCCTTTTGCTTTGCATAAAGTTCAGCATCAGCTGCTTGTTGACGGGAGTAAAATGTTGCTTCGGCAAGTTTTTTTTGGGCTTCAGCCTCTTTTTCCTTCTTGAATAGAGTTGCTTCTGCTCCTTTTTGTTCTTGGTATAACTCCCAGTTTGCTTCTTGTACCTTTTTTATTTTCACATTTATCAGTATTATATTGGATTGCTATAACAATATATTTGTAATATACTAGTATGCATTTGTGAAATACCGAGTAGAAAGATGAATTTTGTTGTACAATATTTTATTTTTGGAAAATAGTTTTTGGAGGGAAAAAACGACGAAGTGACATGTGTCATTTCTAGTGTATGTTTTAGTATTATGTTATTGATTATGACTATATTTGCGAGTTATAATTATGATAAATTGTATGAAGTAGTACTAACCTTAGTTTCATACTCAACACTAGCTTTACTCAAAAATTCAGCCTTCAATTTTTCAGTTTGAGTCAAAGCATTCATCCTCTCAACCTCTGTTTGCAACTCTGCTTCTCTAAGTTTGACTGCTTTCTCAGCTTCCACCTCAGCAACCTGTGTTTCTCTAGTCCAACTAGCCTTCTTTGTTGCCAACTCAGCATTTGCTTCTGCCACCTCAGCCAATCTTTCAAATTCATATATTTGCACCTCTGCCTTCACCTTTATCTCTTCTTTCTTTGCTCCTCCACTTCTTTGCACTGATATTATCTTCGTTTCTGCATCGATTTTCGACGCATTTTGCAGAGTTTCTCCGTCTCTCAGCTTTGATCCTATCTCCCCCTTCTTCCTTGCTTCTGCAACGTCGATCTTGGCCTAGTGTTAAAACATGTTACAAAATAAATTGTTAGTACTACTTAAATATGTTACAAATGTTGCCTAGTAGAGAATACATATTTTTATTTTGTGTCAAAAAAAAAAAAAAAAAGATTTGGCACAAATATATTAACGCGTCTATTAAGTCATGTTACATCTTAATATGATTATGAAAGGTTTGAACAACATAATAACACGACGACCAGCTTATAGACATGTACTAGTGACACAATTGAGCTAATAATAAATATAAAAAAAAATCTCCAAACCTGATTAGCAGCCTCCATTTGGGTCTTTTGGCCCAAATAAGAAAAGTATTCATGGCCAGGAATATCTACCAATTGTTTGATATTTGCATTATAAATTAGCAGTCCAAATTGATTAAGCTCAAGCTGCACCTTCTCAAAGACTTCCTCCTTAAACTTCTTAGCACCACTAAAAACCTCCTCCATGGTCATGGAGGCGACAAGTACTCGTGTCTCACCCTCGATCACACCTTGGACAAGCTCCTCCACATGGTGGGAGCGCTTGTCGTGAGGAGCAATAAGCTTGGCATACTTGATAAGGCTAACATCATCGTCGACCCTAGGCCCTATGGTAAACACTGCAGGAAGGATAAAAGGCAGCTTTTCCGAACTCATGGCTTGTACCTCGAAGGTGTAGTTGACCGGTGAGATGTCAAATTTGGTGCATGATTGCCCTGGTAATATCCAAGCCTTCTTTGCTAGCTTTATATCCGTGATTCCAACCCCGGTCACTACTAAGTATTCTGATGCACTCGCTATTTTGAACCTCATCTTATTCTAACTCAAAGATACTTGATATATAATTTAATAGGTCTCAATAAGGTAGAAAGTTTTTATGTTGTAAAGATCAACAATGAGGTGCAACAAGTTGGACTAATTTGATCGATCTGATGTACAAAAGTCGAATGAGAACCAACCTATTGTACATTCTTAGAAGATCAAGGCAGGTGATTTATATCAAGGAATATGCTTGTAAAGTTTCATACTTTTTCAATATTATTAAATTTGCAAGTAGAAATTACAAAACAATTTACTTTGGAGTTTCAAATCCATTTATGGTATGGTAGACTTTGACGAAGCTTAATTATTCAAGCAACCACCATACTTGGATTCGTTGTGCATTTGTTTGATTATTTCATTCGTTAGAAAATGATAATCATATCTTTGTTGGCAATTACTCGTATATAATAAAGGATACTAAAACCTCTTTTTCAAACATCGAACGTCGTGGGAGATTAGTGGCCTAAGTGCCTAACGTTAATTAATTTCATTATTTTTAAACCAAAATATAGTTAAAATGAAAAGAAAAACAAGAAAAGTAACTCATAAAATTAATTACTCCTAACAAATATTTATTACTCGATATCTAATAATTCCAACGATGCTATGTGTTCGCCTCTAATAATAGTCTCAGATATGAGAGATGTATTACTCATACTAAATGAGCTAAGAGCAGAACTTTCCGTAATCTACATCAAGGACTTAAAACCTTAAGGCATCACACATACATAGTTCATTAGTTCTAGATGTTACAAAATGTGGTTTACCAAGTAAAAGAGTAATTACGTTAATCTTTTCTCATTAGGCCTCTATTATACTTCGGCGATGATCAATCTAAATAATAACCCACTAATTATATATTCTACTATTCGTCAAAGTATACGTTTCGATTAACATTCCAAGTTCTTGCGCATAACATCAACTTGTACACATTATTTCTCACGTTCAACGTTAATTAGAAAATGAAGAAGATTCGATATTTAATAATGTACAAAATTGCTAAACATATTATATGCAAGTATTATCTGCCTACATAGAAGTTACCTTTCGTCTTCTAACGAAATGATCAAATAAATGCACAAACAATGTAATTGCCGGTCGATTATTTTAATAATTTCATTTTGTCAAAGTCTATAGCTATGATTATTCAATAATTTTATATTATTGAGTCAAAGTCTACAATAGATGTTTAATCGAAATTTGTTTCTCTTAGAAAATTCTTTTAATTGTCTACTTGCAAATAACAAGTTTTGATAAATTCCTTGTTCTGTACATCTTATCAAACCAATCATAAATCATCCTGCATTTGTAGGTCGTACAACAATTTGGTCTTACACCTAGATCAGCATTGAAATTTTTTGCCATTATATATCAAGAATTTAATTTGTGTAAAAAAAAACAAAAACACAACATGTTTTTCAATATAGCGAGTGCATCAGAATATTTAGTAGTAACCGGGGCAGGAATTTCGGATATAAAGCTAGCCAAGAAGGCATGGGTTCTACCAGGGCAATCATGCACCAAATTCGACATTTCACCGGTCAACTACACCTTCGAGGTGCAAGCCATGAGCTCAGAGAAGCTGCCATTCATCCTGCCAGCAGTGTTTACCATAGGGCCTAGAGTCGACAATGATGATTCACTCATGAAGTATGCCAAACTCATTGCTCCTCATGACAAACACTCCCACCATGTGGAGGAGCTTGTCCAAGGTGTGATCGAGGGTGAGACACGAGTACTTGCTGCCTCCATGACCATGGAGGAGGTTTTTAGTGGGGCTAAGAAGTTTAAGCAAGAGGTCTTTGAAAAGGTGCAGCTTGAACTTAATCAGTTTGGATTGCTCATTTATAATGCAAATATCAAGCAATTGGTGGATATTCCTGGCCATGAGTACTTTTCTTATTTGGGCCAAAAGACCCAAATGGAGGCTGCCAATCAGGTTTTGATGTGTTTTTTTTTTTTTTTTTTTTTTTTTATAAGCCGATCATTGTATTATGTTGTTCAATTTAAACCTCTCATAATCAAGTACATATTTCATATACAATATGATTTTACAAATAGACGTTTTCATATTTAACACTTGTAACATCATTAAGTACTAACTTTTAATGCATCTTTTAACATGTACACTAGGCCAAGATTGATGTTGCAGAAGCAAGAAAGAAGGGAGAGATAGGATCGAAGTTGAGGGATGGAGAAACGTTGCAATACGCGTCAAAGATTGATGCAGAAACAAGGATAATATCAGTGCAAAGGAAAGGAGGAGCACAGAAGGAAGAGATAAAGGTGAAGGCAGAGGTGCAAATATACGAGAATGAAAGGTTGGCTGAGGTGGCAGAAGCGAATGCTGAGTTGGCAACAAAGCAGGCTAGTTGGACTAAAGAAACACAGGTTGCTGAGGTGGAAGCTGATAAAGCAGTCAAACTTAGAGAAGCTGAGTTGCAAAGAGAAGTTGAGAGGATGAACGCTTTGACTCAAACCGAAAAATTGAAGGCTGAGTTTTTGAGTAAAGCTAGTGTTGAGTATGAAACTAAGGTTAGTATAATAGTATGATGCCTCTAAAATTACTAATTTACAACTTCTCTTAATTATAATTTCACAATAAAACAAAGGAGAAAGTAATGCAAACATAATCATAATTGGTCATTTATCTTTAATATTCATGAATTTTGAAAGTAGGACAGTAATTTAGTTTATCAAAAATCCATGATTGATGTTTGACTGTTTGTGTAGCTATGTAACCTCATTAGCCAATATGTCATCAATATGTATATGCCTAACATTGCACACGGATATATTACAATTGCAAAATGCATATTGTTATGGCAACCTAAAACAAGTAACCTTTGAGTACACTGTGACGAATATATAATGTTACACTTGCATACCGCTCTTCATAAATTAATATTGTCAAAATGTGGGGAAAAAAAAGGTACAAGAAGCGAATTGGGAGTTATACCAACAACAAAAGGCAGCGGAGGCAACTCTATTCAAGAAAGAAAAGGAGGCCGAAGCACAAAAGGCACTTGCTCAAGCAGCATTTTACTCTCGTCAACAAGCAGCTGATGCCGACCTTTATGCAAAGCAAAAGGAAGCAGAAGGAATACTAGCACTTGCCCAAGCACAAGGTACCTATTTACGTACCCTATTAGAGGCACTTGGGGGCAATTACGCAGCTCTAAGGGACTACATGATGATTAACAACGGCATGTTTCAAGACATTGCTAAAATTAATGCCGAGGGTATCAAGGGCTTGCAACCTAAGATTAGTGTGTGGACAAATGGTGGTGAGGGATCGAATGATAAGACAGCCGGTGGTACAGCAATGGCAGAGGTCGCAAATATCTATCGAACTTTGCCACCATTGTTCAAGACAGTTCAAGAACAAACTGGGATGGTTCCACCTTCATGGTTGGGCTCACTCAAGGACACTGGTAATACATATGATTGAGACGATTTAATTCCAAATTCCCATGATTTACGCTATTCTTCTGCTACTCGTCAAGTTTATGACTATACGTTTTGTTGTTGAGCGGTTTAGACTTCAGAGCTTTATTGTATCATTCATATAATCATATGTATGACAATAATTTTAATTGAGTTTTTGTCGCTAACTAATGTGCAATATGCATTTGCATCTAAATTGAAATATAAAACTGAAGGAACTAAAAAAATACCCGTATTTGAATAGAATTAGTTTACATTTCACCAAAAATGTGGTTTCAGATCCTGTTTTTAATATATTTTTGATTTGATAAGAGTCATAGGATGAATAAAATTAAGATATTAACCATAGATTTACCACTGCTTATTCGAATCACAAATTCACAACATTACAAATTTACAACCCAAAGATATATAGAGAGAATGCCTCAAATTGTAAATGCACCAAAACTGGTTAAGGTGGGAATGTTACGTCAACCAATAGCTACCAGACACGAACAGAACATTCATACACCTTATACCAGCTAAAGATCTATTCGGCCAGAATTTTTAGCATGGAATCAATTGAAATTTAAGTACGATGAGAAAGCCCAAGCAAAAAAGGGTGCCAATAATTTATAAACCATGTGAAAACAAATTAGCTGACAAAATCAGATTTAAGGAACTGAGTTGATAAAAACACATACTCTAAAATCAATCATAGAAACACTTCTACGAGCATAAGATAATACATGAACAAGGTTTCTTCTGACTGCTTTCTCAACTTCTAAAGAGTAGAATGTGATCAAAATTTGGTTTACAGTCCAGCAAAAGCCTTCTTTCCACCAGTAGCTGCACCAGCAGGGATGACCTTCAAGACATTAAATCTCACTGTCTTGGAGATAGGCCTGCAAGGTACAACAATAGAAGAGATACATTCAATACAACTCCATGTAATCAAATTAAAACAACACATCTTATAATTCACACACAGCAAACATTGAAAACGTTCAGACAAAAAGGATGAACAGACCTGCACTGGCCAATGATCACATGGTCACCTTCCCTCACACGAAAACAAGGTGAAACATGGGCAGGGATGTTGGAATGCCTCTTCTCATATCTAGGGATATATAAAGCATAATCAGTGAAAATTTGAAAAAGAATATTTAAAGATAAAGAAGCTAACTATGACCAACCTTTGGTACTTCTTAATATAATGAAGATAGTTGCGACGAACAATAATGGTTCTCTGCATCTTGGCACTGTGGCAAGTACCAGCAAGGATACGACCTCTGATGGAAACGTTGCCTGTAAATGGGCATTTCTTGTCGATGTATGTTCCTACACAAAGGTAAAGAATGTGAGCTGCAATGAAGCCTGTATTCCATAATATAGTATGGAGATACTTGACTCTACAAAAGAGTTATGCCTTTAGAAACAGCATGTTAAGGGAAAAGAAGAATAAGCATTGGCCTTAAATATAGTTCGTTATAGACTTAGGACATTTAACGTCCTGATTTTACAATTTTACACATAGAAACAGCATGTTAAGGAAAAAAAAGAATGAGCATTGGTCTTAAAAATATTTCGTTATAGACTTAAGCATTTAACGTCCTCATTGTACAATTATTCAGCTTAACGTTCACTTTAAGACCAAGACATCAAATCAGCAGGGCATGGATCAAGCGCATAGTCTGGTATTTAGACTCACAAAATATCTGGATAATGATCAATCAAGCAATACAAATAACTATAAACAGAAATCAGAATCAGAATTTTACAAACGTTAGGTATTCCTATTTGCAACTGAAATCCTTGCAACTCTTTCAAATAAAAAACAGATACCATAGCACATATTCAATCAATCAACACCTTAATCAAATACCATAGCACATAGTATCATCCAAAATTCCAAACTTCAAAATATATCAAAAGATTTGAACAAACCACATTGTATCAAAAACATATGATACCAAACTTCAAAGTTCAAACTATTGAAACTACAACTATAAAACCGCCAGAGATGGATTCGATCTCCTCGAAAATACAACAAACTAAAGCACACATTACATTAACAGTTATCCAGTACTCAGTCTCCTAACCAAAAACTTGACTAATTCTAGTCATCTAACGAGAAATAATTGTTCATCAATTCATACATTTTAAAATCAATAGAACTATACAAATACAGCAAACTAAAGCACACATTACTTCAACAATTATCCAGTACTCAGTCTCCTAACCAAAAACTAAACTAATTCTAGTCATCTAACAAGAAATAATTGTTCATCAATTCATACATTTTAAAGCATTAATCAATAGAACTATACAAATACACATAACTAACTTATTTCGAGCTTAATTAATATATAATGCCTTCAAAATACGCCAACAATATTGATGATTTGAACAACTAAAATTCATCAAAAAATCAGAGATTATACCTTCGATGGCATCACGAGGAGTCTTGAATCCCAAACCAATGCTCTTCCAGAACCTGTTACCTCCCTTTCCAGGTCTCTTTCCTTTGCTAGACTTGTTCGACCTACAGATTTCCACCAACCACCATTTTTCAATCAAATTCATCCTCAATAAAATCAAATTCAAACTAACAGCAGCTCAAATTCAACAGAAAATTACAGAAAAATCGATGATCACTTACGAAAGGAACACCTTCGGCTGCTTCAAAAAAGCCTTCTCCGTCTACCAAAACAAACAATATAAAAAATTAACATTCGATTGATTTTAACACAGCATCGTGAAGAATAGATAGAGAAGAGAGAAAAACCTGTTCCGCCATTGTTAGGGTTTTGCAGAAGCTTTCCGAGGAGAGAGAAAATCGTTACGGCACACTCACAGAAACCCTAATACTAATACAGCTTGAAAGCAGTGGAAATGAAAGAAATTTTAGTTATATAGTAAGCCAACTGAAGTAGCCCTAATTGTTTTTAATTACCGAAATATCCTTAGTTCTGTTTTGGGTTTATTGTTTGGGCTCTTGGATATAAAGCCCAGATATTTGTTTGGGCTCGTGGATGTAAAGCCCAGTTATTTGTTTGGGCTTTTAGATTTTAAGCCCGGTTAATTTTTGGGCTAATGGCCTGAATCTTGTTGTGTTGTTTGCTAAATGTAAAAGGATTTTGATTGGAGTCAACAAACAAAGACACAAAATCATGATTTTCTTCAAGGTTGAGCCTATAAAAAGCTTGTCTTATTGGTTTTTCAACTTTTTGGACCCCACAATTCTTCTGAGGTCCAGTTTTCAATTTTTTTGGCTACAAATGAAAGAAATGCCCTTGTTAATAATTAATTGGATTGTGAATAATGCATTTATCAAGGTGTTAATTTATTGAATGAAATGCATATACCAAGTTTCAAAGTGTTATTTTATTGAATGGAATGCATGTATCAAGAACATAACCAATTGTGAATAAACCCATTAGTTTAGTTATTTTGTTTTAAACTTACAAAACAAAGTATATATTATACAATTAATAGTTTAAGAAGGTGGTTAAACAATTCTAGTTTCATCATATTTTATCGGTTAACAATCATCAACAAATTATAAGATGAACGCAAAAAATTTTCAATTTATTTAAGATAACATGAACTTATTTTGCTTTTATTTATTTACACAATTAAACTTACAAAACGAATTTTGTTTATACTTATCTAACTTAATTTTATTTTTTTTTTACGTAAAATACCACTTTGATAGCACAAATGAAATCGAAAAAGGGCATTTGAGTAAAACCAAAAATTCTTTCTTGGTGGTGGGGTAGATGTTTCCTCAATCCTCACCCTCTAGTACTAACCTTGACACTATCTAGTCACTATCACTCCACACTTCACACTTCACACTTCACACTTCACACTTCTATACTCTACTCTACTCTACTATCCCTTTCCTCCAATCCCATTTGCTTCTCCTCTCACCATTTCTCTGCTCAAAAAATACTCATAATGCTAAACCACTGCACAAGTAGAAGTAGTAACAGTAGTAAAGTAGGCCCTTCAATTCATCTCCTACCTACATCACTATACTTGTACTTGTTCACTTTAGCACTTGTAGTTGTAGTTGCTACTCCCGCTTCACTTCCTCCTTCTCCAGGTACCCTCTATTTAATTATTGTATTAGACGGTCTCACAATCCAACCACGTACAATAATTTCTTGTCGTAGTGTTTCTAATACAAGTTTGGTCAGGCCGTCTTACACAAGACTTATAATTAGTTATCGTTTTTACTATTTTACCCTTACATTAACATTATTTTGTTGTTTGAATTTTCAGGGTGGGAAAGTGAAGGAAATAACACAAATAATGGGGGTGAAAGGGGAATTTCGGAGGGGCCGAGTATTGGTGGAGGAGTGGGAGAAGGGTACGGTGGTTACGGCGGTTACGGAGGAGAGAGTTCGTTGATGACATTGGCACCAAGAAGAACACATAGAAAGGATCCTTTAGATGGTTTTAAGTATTACACTGGTGGTTGGAATATTTCTGACCGCCATTACTGGGCTGTAAGTTCTTATCTTCTTTTTCTTGTTTTTATCCATTTTATTATTATTGTTATTAGGATTTAGGAATGATAAATTGGTTAGCATGGGTAAAATAAAGAGAAATTAAGGATATTTTTGTCCTTTGAGTTTATTTTTAGGTGACTAAATTAGCTAGTTGCATACTCGAAACTACGTGTGAAAGTATGTTAAAGAGGGTTTCTTTACTGATTAATGATTGTGATATGGAAATGAACGACAAGTTGATTAACTCGTGAATAACATTTACTTCTTAGTAAAAAAGGTTTCTTTGCATAAAGAGTTTAGGCATTCAACAATGTTGCAAATAAGTACCAATTGAGTACTAATAAGTAATAACTAAGTTTTGGGCATATAACAACATTACTACATTAGGCAAAATACCAATATCCCCTTAATGAACCAATATATCCTTAAGGATAGAGGACGCAAGGTAAAGCCATGATTAAAGTGTCAAATTTTACCTATTCATCTTTTATTAGTCGTCTAACTGTTAAACAATAACTCTTTATCCGAGGAATCCGAGAACTTGAGCAACAAAATGCATGATGCCTAATGGTCCCTTTTACAAGGTGAGAAGAAAACTAGGGGTGATGACTTCATAAATATTGCAAGGGTTTTGAGGTAGTGCTACACGTCTACAATAGTACCTAAGCTGCTAACATGGTCTCAAAATGTGTACATTGCTATTACTAGTGGCCAAATTATGATTGTAAATTAGAAATGCACTTATTACTTTGAACTTTTTGATCCAAATAGGTCTCTATCTTTATGGATTTGGCCCCCAATGCTGCATACTTTAGGTATTGTGCATAACTCCTAAAAATATCTTCATAATTTCCAGCTAAACATTAATTTAATCACCCCATCTTCATTAATCATATTTTATTTAGTGAAGATAATACATAATACAATACATTGATTAGGGAGAGGAAAAGAGGGGAAAAGGATTAATGGTGGGCCAGAAATTTGACTGAAACTACTGGTTGAATACAACCTGTCACAAAATTTGTGGCATACTTTAGGGAAATTGGAGAGTTTTGAACAGATCCTAAAATTAGTACACTGATCATTTGAAGAACTTTGTCACCAAGTTCATGTCATGTTTGATTCTTTAAAGTACCCTCCAATGGCCCGGGCCCTATAGCACAAATGATGCAGGTTATAACGTTAATGGTGGAATTTGAATTAGTAATGTGACAACTAATTTCGGATAGAGTACGTGCATGATTTAGCATTGTACTATGCAATAAGGCTACTGTCTTTAGTCTGTAGCATCACATTTTGTGTTCTTTACAATTTTTGTGCAAAAGAGTGCACGAATCGGTGATTTTAATTTTTAACAAACCAAACTTATTTTACAAACTGACAACACTTATTCCCTTATATTTGCATTCTTAGGTAATTTTGTAGTTTGTACATTAGTACTACATAACAAGCAATGCGATAGGAGATGGGGTTGAATTGGGATGAGTATGCTATTTCCAAGAGTGTCAAATCGACCAATGTCATTAAAAATTTAATTAAATGTAAAGTCGAATTTAGAGCTGTGATCAAACTCATGAGAGTATAAGATAGGCAAAGGCAAAGCGAAAATATCAGCAGCATTGTCTTTCAGAGACTTGAACGGTAGCTTAATATATGGCTATATGCCAAAATTTTGGCTGCTAATTATGTTGCATCTTTGTTTCTGATTATAACTTGTTTTGAAGCTCGAACCTCACAGCATTCTCCTTATTTTGTTGTATTTCAGTCTGTTAGATACTCTGCTGCTCCGTTGTTCATTATCTCCTTAGTCTGGTTCTTTGTCTTTGGGCTGTGCTTGTTGATCATTTCTATCTGTCACTGTTGTCGAAGGGAGCAGCGCATTGGCTATTCACGTATAGCTTACATTCTTTCACTCGTACTTCTTATACTCTTCACACTTGCTGCAGTGTATGCTCTCACCTTTCTCTCTAACAATACCACTAGAACATCTAAGTTTAACAGCTACACCTTCTTAATCCGTCAATAATTTTTTGTTTCAGTGTTGGATGTCTTGTTTTATATAATGGACAAGCAAAGTTTCATCATAGTACTGTATCAACTTTGGAATATCTTGTGAGTCAAGCTGATATAACCGAATGGAAGCTCAACAATGTGTCCAGTTATCTTTCTTCGGCAAAGCAGATAGGAATTCAAAATGTATTCTTGCCTTCTAATGTGCAAACTGACATTGACGACATAGACATGAAAATCACTGCTGCTTCTAGCTTCCTGGATCACCAGTCAACTAACACTGCTGATGACATACGAGAAGTATTAGATTCTGTGTAAGTTCTAAAATCTACATCATCTATATATCCACCAAGTTTACAGCTAGAATTGATAATGTTTGTGCTTCTGCAGGAGGCTCGCGCTCATCATAGTTGCTGCCATCATGCTTTTCCTAGCATTTCTCGGATTCTGTAAATCACTTTGGCTGTTAGCTTCCTATGGTGTCAAATTTTCTTCTTTGTCTCTTGTCAACTTAACATGCTGATTGTTTTGTGCCCTTCTCTTGTTTCAGTGTTCTCAATGTTCGGTATGCAAGTTCTTGTCTACACGTAAGTGACTAGCAGACCTTGAAAAACATTGCCATTATTTACAATTATTAACTGAATTTGGCTCCTGCAACTATCATATTTACATTCATATGACACTTAAGATGAGTACTGGAAATCCTGCAGGCTTGTGGTTTTTGGATGGATTATATTGACCGGGACTCTTATCTTGTGTGGTGTATTCCTTCTGTTCCACAAGTAAGTATTTGGTTGTAACTCGAATGTTCTTCAAATAATTCTAAGTACTTTTATTAATCACATCTCATAAGCTTGCAAGTATCCTCTAATATAAATACATATACTGTTTGACCTTATTATATCTGTCTTGCTTACCAAATTCGCCGTATTTACTTGTTTGTTTCTCACCAGTGTGGCCACGGATACTTGTTTGGCAATGCATCAGTGGTCTTTGAACCCAACGGCTCATACAGCATTAGATGAAGTACTTCCCTGTGTCGACCCTGCTACTTCACAAGAAACCTTAAAGCGAAGCAAGGAGGTTACATCTCAGCTTGTGGACATGGTTAACTCGGTCATATCCAATGTCTCTAACATCAATTTTGGTGTGCAATTCAAACCCTTTTACTATAATCAATCTGGTCCTCTACTGCCATTTCTTTGCAACCCATTCACACATGATTTAATGGACCGTCAATGCTCTCGTGGTGAAGTTGATTTGAACAATGCTTCTCAGGTAACAGACCAACCAACCCTTAAAGGCAGTAGTGCAGTACACTTTCAGATTGCCCTGCAGTCCCCTGCTAACAACACTGGCTATTTTTCCTCTTGCAGGCTTTGGGTAACTATGTGTGTCAGGTTGATCCAACTGGAATATGCACTACTACAGGCCGTTTAACACCGGCCATGTATAATCAAATGATTTCCGCGGTGAATGTGAGCTATGGCTTGCACAACTATGGTCCTGACCTTGTTGCATTACAGGACTGCTCTTTTGTCAGGGAAACCTTCACAAGCATATACACCGATCATTGCCCTGGTCTTCGACGCTATAGCAGATGGGTGTATGCAGGATTGGTTTTGGTCTCATTTGCAGTGATGTTGTCCCTCATTTTCTGGGTGATTTATGGTAGAGAACGTAAGCACAGGTTGTATACCAAAAGGCGCTTAAGTGAAGGTAATTACAAGAAATCTTAATGTGTAAATTGATTTCTAATTCTTTCTGTAATTCTGAATACTATTGCTATTAATGAACTTTAGAATTTTAGCTTTGTCATCATTTAGGTTACTATGTTTTGCGTAGATTTGGTTCACCCTACATGTATCAATAATCAAAAGCTTGTTAGACGATTGAGTTAACCAAAAGTTTAAGCTGATGTTTAAAGTCCACACTCGGTTATATACTCTATAAGTAATAATTGTGTTAGAAAACCTAATATTAACACGAAACTAGTTATTACTCTATATAAAATACAAAGTACATGATAATAATAATAATCGCGTTTACAAGCAAAAATTAGAAATATCTTCTACTATCACTCCATCAGCATGTGTACTGTTCCTCAATAGGAGGACAAACATAAAGTCATAAACTACATAATCGTGTAAGCGGAGGCATTTGGATATGATATTTACTCAAAATGTACCCAAATGATTGATCTCTAATGTCAGGAAATAATTAATGAGATTAATTAGTCACTTCTTTGTGTTTAAAGTCCTTATATTATGGACTGTTTTGCCAAGGAGTTAACAGATGGACATGTGCATATGCAATTTAAAAAAGAATTGTTTGGGTCCAATTTATCTAATTGAGCCTAGCATGTATTTGTGTCCAATTATCTTATTGGGCCTGGTCACTAAATGACTTCATATTCCAAGGTCAAGGCCCGAGCCTCCAATCAAGCCAAGTCAACCAAGAGTCCTTTGGTCCGAATTGCCATGGTCAGCCCATGACTATTTAAAGGCCCAATTGCTCTCCTCTCATCATGTGCAAAGGTATATAAGCCTTCAATTCATTCATTTGTACATGACAACACAAAAAAGCCTCAAGCATCAAATCTCTTGCATAGCTTTCTCTCTCTAAACACTGTTTGACTTCGGCATCGGAGGGGTCTTCCTCGGATCCACCCCCGAGGCTAGTTTACGTGTTTTAGTTGTGCAGGAAACCTTCGGCCCAGCATCAATTGGACCGGAACAGTCTTCAGCCACTTCAGCGGGCCTTCGGCAAGACCCCATTGTTTTCATCCGAAACAATTTGGCGCCGTCTGTGGGGAAGACTTTCAAAAATCTTTAAGCCAAATTTCTAATCAAAATCATCTTGCAATCATCTTAGTAGCAATGGCTAAGAACCGCAAGAGCAAAAGCCTCCGTCAAGGAGAAGGCGAAAAGCCTAAAATTCCTACACCATCGCCCTCACCAGACCGAAACTCTCCCAAGGATGCCAGTTCGGGGGGAGGATCATACAGGGAGGATTCCATTTCTCCCGTAATTCACAACTCTCATCATAGGCCGAGTCTCTCTCGGTCTAGCAGAGGTCAGTCCGATCATAGGACTTATTCAGTGCCCCAAAGCCAATCATCGACCGTCCGCTCTCATTTCCACACTCAGCTGAGGACCCCTTTGACGGGGCCCAGCTCGGAGGAGGTGGCGAGAGCGCTGGCAGTGCTCATGGAGGCAATGAGGGCACAAAATATGCCTCCACCTCGCGATCGAACTCCTCCGCATACCTGACATCAGCGGAGGAAGCTAGACCATGATGGTGGGAAACCTCCTTCCTTCCAGGAACTGGAAAAGTGGGAAGAGGATTCCTGGAGAACTGAAAGAGAGAGGAAAAAGAACCCTCAATTTTTCAGAGGATCCTCAACCTCTCGACCAGAAACGCATAAAAGCAGCAGCTCAGCTTCTCGGCCAGAATCTGCTCGCCGAGAGCAACCTGACACTGTTCGCCGAAGCGTCCTCGACCGACTCGGCGGCAAGGAACCGAGCGTGCACAGTCGCCTCTCGTTCCCCGCAGCCGAGGCCCAGACTTCCTAGCCAGGGACAAAAACCACTCCTATCTCTCTAAGAGGGCGGAGCGCGGTCCCTTCGGCCAGGAACAAGGGCAAGGCCGTTATGCTACCCACCAGTTCCCCATTCGAGTAATGGATACTAGAAGAGCACGTGCCCACGGTTAAAATACCGTCGCACATCACATATGATGGGACTTCGGATCCGAAGGACCACATTGCCTCGTATGAGGCTCATATGCATCTTTGCCCCAGATCCGAAGCGACTTGGTGCAAATATTTTCCAACCACTCTCAAGGGGGTCGCGCAAGCATGGATCTCCAAGGGAGTGAAGCAAGGCTCTATAACAGGGTGGGACAATCTGTCCTCCAAATTTAGGAGCAAGTTTTCCACGGCAAACCGCCGAGAGAAGACTACTGCAGAACTCATGGGTCTGCAACAAGGGGAGGCCAAAAGCCTCCGAGACTATCTGACCCGTTTCAGCAACGAGTCATCCAGCGTCTCTCTGGACCAGGGGCTAGCCGTTTTTGCAATGCAGAATGGCCTTCAGCCTGGGAAGTTCCTAGACTTCATGGTCATGCATACCCCGCAGACCTTGGAGGAAGCTCTGAACGCCTCGGATAAATTCATCCGAGCCGAAGAGTGGAACAAAACAAAAACCCAACCTCAATCTGGGGGAGGGAAGCAAAAACAAACACCCTTGTCTGAAGGCCAAGGCCAGAGGACAAAGGGAAAGGCCAAGGCCTCGGAACAATCTTCGGCCAACGAGCCAAAGAAGGAAAAATCCGCCTCATACACAGGCAGATACGAGTCCTACACTCCGCTCTCTCTTCCACGCGCCAAAATTTACAGCGTGACAAAGGAAGAGCAGAGTTACCGAAAGCAAAGACCACTCCCAGAGTGGTATCAGCGAAAAAATAAAAATCAGTGGTGCGAGTTCCACGAATCTCCGGGACATAACACTGAGGAGTGTATCCAGCTGAAGGACCAGATCGAGGACATGGTTCGGAAGGGATACTTGAAAAAATACATCGCGAATCACCGCGAGAAAAAGGAGGCCGAGAAGTCAGCAAAGGACTCTCGGCAAGACCTCGACTTCCCCCGGAAGAACAGTAAAAATGCGGAGGGAAAATTCTCTCCGATCAATGTTATCTCGGGAGGAATATGCTCTCGGAGGGAACAAAAGAGACACCTTAGGGCTCTGACCCACCAGGTGAACAACGCTGACATTCAGCCTCCCCAGTCGCCGGTGCCGAACATGACGTTCACAGCCGCCGATTGCCGAGGGGTAACGTTCCCTCACGAGGATCCGTTGGTGATCATCGCCACGGTGGCCAACCACGACGTCAGCAAGGTCCTTGTTGACGGTGGCAGCGGAGCAAACATTCTGTTCCGAAAGGCCTACAATCAAATCAAGCTGAAGCCCAAGCACCTTACGCCGGTACCCTACCCGGTATCCGGATTCAATGGGGCTTTAACTTATCCAGATGGGAAGGTGACACTTCCTGTCACCATCGGCTGCGATGAGGCAGCCAGGAATGTCATGACTGAATTTTTGGTCATTGACGCTCCTTTAGTGTATAACGTGATTTTGAGGAGACCCATAATTCACGAGATCCAAGGGGTCGTCTCAACTTATCATCAGCTGATGATTTACGTCTCAGACGCCGGCTTCCCCGAAAGGATCCAGGGCAGCTAAAAGGACGCCCGAAGGTGCAACTACCTCCAGCCATCCACTAGTCGCCCAGATGACGATGACAAGGATGAGGAGGAGAAAGAAAGAGAAAAAGAGCCCAACACAAAAAAGCCGAAAGGCCTAAGTTCTTCGGCCCAAGGTTCTGTGGCCAGAGAAAAAGGGCCAGAAAGGGAAAAGGCTAGCTCTTCATCTGAGCCGAAAGACTCAGAGAGCCAGCCGAAGAACAAAAAGTCTGGGACGCCTGCTAACATAGACAGCAGGCCAGATTGTGAAGAGTCCAGTCCATCAGCAATGGACATGGACCAACAGACTGAAACGGTCGAGTTGACCGAAGGAGACGCTGAGAAATGTGTAACAATCGGGATGGACCTTGATCCGAACACCCGTTGTGAACTTATTCAGCTCCTTCGGGACGACAGAGATGTGTTTGCTTTCTCGGCAGCTGATATGCCCGGGATAAGTCCAGACCTCATCTCCCATAAGCTTAATGTTGACCCAACGTGTCGACCAATTAAGCAAAAGAAGCGGAATTACTCCGCTAATAAGAACCGAGACATCGCAGCCGAGGTCAAAAAGTTGCTGGAGGCAGGCTTCATCGAGCCTTGTCAATATCCAGAATGGCTGGCAAATGTGGTGATGGTTCAGAAGGCCAATGGTACCTGGAGGATGTGCGTTGACTTCACGGACCTAAATAAGGCATGTCCGAAGGATTTCTATCCCTTGCCGAGGATCGATCAGCTAGTCGACTCGACAAGTGGCCATGCCTTGCTTAGTTTCATGGACGCATTCTCGGGGTATCATCAGATCTTCATGCACCCCGACGATCGAGCAAAGACGGCATTCGTCACGAACGCCGGGGTGTACAATTATAAAATGATGCCCTTCGGATTGAAAAATGTGGGGGCAACCTATCAAAGGCTGGTGGATCAAGTTTTTGCCGATCAAAAGGGGCGAAACATGGAAGTCTATGTTGACGATTCGATCGTCAAAAGCAAAAAATCTGAGGACCATGTTAAAGACCTGGCCGAAACCTTCGCCACCTTAAGAAAGCATCAAATGAAGCTGAATCCGAAGAAGTGTGTCTTCGGCGTGAAGTCAGGGAAATTCCTTGGGTTCATGGTCAGCAAGAGGGGGATTGATGTCAATCCCTCCAAAGTTAAAGCAGCGCTCGACCTTCCTGAGCCGAAAACAAAGCGGGATGTTCAGCGGCTCACCGGAAGAATGGCAGCCCTCTCGAGGTTCATTTCCAGAGCTTCGGATAAGGGGTTACCTTTCTTCAAAGCCCTGAAACTCCCGAAAACAAAAGAGCTCGTTTGGGAGGAAGAGCAAAAAGAAGCCTTCAAGCAGCTTCGGGAGCATCTGGCTCAACTCCCAACACTGGCCAGCCCAGCAGAGGGAGAAACTTTGTATCTGTATGTGGCTGTTAGCCCAGCCACCATCAGTGCAGTGCTGCTGAAGGAAGAAAGCAAAATTCAGCAACCGATCTATTTCGTCAGTCACACTCTGACGGATGCCAAGACTCGCTACCCTCTACTCGAGAAAGTCGCTTTTGCGGTTGTGGTAGCTGCTCGGAAGCTG